AAGAACTGTGAGTGCTTATTTTTTAATGTCTCAATAATCTATCAATGTTGTTTTCATCATCATTTATTTATTTATATCAAATTGCAGGCGTTTTGATGGTTATCATTAGCCCTTTAGTTGACTTCAGGCTTCACAGAGGGGAAGGAACATCAAAGCGAAAAAAGGTGAGAGGGGGGGGGGACAGAAGAGTGTTTCAAAGACGAAGGTAGAAAAAAAGGTGAGGTGAGTACTGTGGAAGTAGACGAATATGACTTACAGTGAGGTGATGGTAGTTTGAAGTCAGAAGTCAACTGCCGGTTTATAGAATTTTTTGCCGTATGAGTATACGTTGCCCAGGGTACACCACGTGGAGGTAAGTCTATCGCACACCCCGTTTTGATCATCATTATTTGGTACATCAGCCAATTCTTCCTGAATAGTTATTGTTATTTCGGTCTGAATTTCACTCTTACGGTTTAGATAACAAGACAACCTAAATCCCCGACAAAGTATTCAATAATCGTGTTCTTTTGAGTTGGAAAGGTTGATTAATTATTAATAGGTGAGGAAGATTTCTGATCGCTAGATCAGACGCGTTTATCTGTAAAGCCAGGTGGTATAAGTTTGATATTCACTGGTGCAAATTCAATAATTAGAACTGTACTGTTTCAGCTGGCTTTATACTTGTCCTCCGCTCACGGTAAGGGTTAGAAAACGCTGTTATTTAAGGGTTCAGAAATTCTTGGATTTTAATAAATCGTTTTCTCTCAAGATTTGAATCTCCTAAGTTCACTCTTCCGAGTTCGATTAATAGTAGGGGTCCCTCTTTGGACATGGCTATTTGCAGTTGTGTATTATCTATCGTTTCTGCCGCTATAATTACGTTCCTCTTGAATGAGTTTAAGGATGTTGACTCTATGGTTGACTCTAGTTTTTCGCACCTGATTTTGCCTGCAAAACAGTGTACGCCTGAATTGGGTTGGAATGATCAATCAGAGGCACAATTCAATACACTTAAAGAGCTCTAACTGCGGTGGACATAGTCTCTTGGATTAAATTTCAACGTCACTTTATTTTCGTTGTGCCTACTCTGCTTTTGGTTCCTTTTTGAACGCTTGTTTATTCCTTATTGAGATAATTTTCCATGATTAAAATTTCACATGTTTGTTTTCTGCATCATGGTTACTAATAGTAATAGCAATAATAATAATCACATTTTTAACGGAAGAATCCCAATGAATTTGAAATCACAAATAATTACATCACATTGGGGATATATATATATCCTTCAATCCCATGGTTAAGCAAGAGAAAAATTAGTCATTTTAAGGCAAGGTCTTAACTGTCGTTGGCAGATCCTTCCATTTCTCTCTTTGTGCCATTTCAGCTGACTTAACACCACCCAAGAAACGAAAATATCGACCTCGAGGGGGTGGAGGAGGAGGTAATAACGGAGCTGAAGGAGGTTTTGGTGTTGAAAATGACACCGGTAAGTCCACCGACCATGAAGATGGTGGTGGCACAAATGAGGCCTCTTCTATGCGTTCTGGTTCTACCAATGGAGATGGTGGTACATCAACAGTGGCGGGTGGTGGAGATGACGACGTTCAGAGTGCTGGTGAGGGGACATCCACTTGTGGCAATTCCGGTCGTGTCTTTGATGACCCCAACAAACCCAGTTCTTCAGGCTGGGGTGAAAATCCTTATGACAAGGCGGTTGAACTCAATCGAGGCGTAAGTTTCATTTAGTCGTATTCTCTCTCGAGCAAAGCTCAAATGCTCAGTTTTTTGCCTATTTTTTTCTTCTAAGATGTAGCTCATAAAGTAGTTCGATGTTCGGTATACACAGTTGTTAGTTAATCTAAAGTGTATCGATGAAAACCCCAAGGGAATCCTTTATTGAGACTATTGGCGTAAGATTCAATGTGGTTCTTCTGTAGATCTCTTTAGAAATTCAGCAATCTTTAATTCTTTCTAGCCTGGTGGAAAGGAATTTTATACTCCGTGTCCCCCAATATCAATCTTGTTTAGAAGTATCTACCTCTTGGTTAACCGAACCCTGGGAATACCGTTGAAGGATTTTATAATCGACTTCTTATTTATGATCGAAAGCATCTAGTTCGTTTTATTTTTGGCAGAACAGAATATGGTACCACTCTGACAAAAATAATTGTTGGAAAACACTTTCGTCAGCGGTTTGGAAGAGTTACTCCTTCAGTTTTCTATGTATAAAATTAAGGCTGCTACCATTATTTATTCCTTTTTAAACCAATTTTAAAGTTTTATTTATTTATTTCAAATGGCAGGCGTTTTGATAGTTATCATTAGCCCTTTAGCTGACTTCGGGCTTCGTAGACGGAACATCCAAGTAACAGAAAGTCGAGGGATGGGGAACAGAAGAGTGGTTTACAGTTGTAAAAGAGACAGACACAAAGACAGAGAAAAGGTAGGATGATTACTGTGGAAGTGGTAGAATATGGCATCCAGTGAAGTTATTGTAGTTTGAAGTCAGAAGTCAACTGCCGGATAATAGACTTGTTTTGCCGTATGAGTATACGTTGCCCAGGGTGCACCACGTGGAGGTAAGTCTATCGCACACACAATTTTAAAGTAGATATATTTAAAGTGAAATGCTCACAAACGGTGATTATCCTCGAGTTTTCTCCAAAGGAGGTCTGGGTTATCTTTTTTGTCTTTTATTTTTAATTCAAAATTTTCCCTTTCCAGCTCTCCGAATTAATCGGGAAGCTGGTGGAGTTGCAGCCAAAGGAACCAGCCGGTTACCAGGACTACCTCCTTGTGACAAGAGACTATCTCTTAGCTGGTTTTGTACCTCAACATATCTCACGTGTAAGTTTACCGCCAACATTTTGCTACTTTCTTTCTGTACTTAAACAGCCCCTGCAATTACCGTTTGTCTTCCCCCTATCCAGCGTCCTTGTCCCCCTGAATTGCCTCCCCCTTTAGCAGAGTTGTTTGAAGAGCAGGAAGATGAGCGTTACGCTCAGGCTCTCAAACATCAGTCAGAGAGGGAGCAACTCCGACTCTGTGCTGAACAGTCTGTACTGCGAGCTCAGACTCGAGCCACAATCGCCCTCGCTAATCAACCTCGTCCACTCTCCTTCTGTTCTGTTCTGGCTCTCAAGGGCTTCACATACCTGCCGATTTTTAAGGATTCTGAGCATAGGGTGGGGTTTTTATCTATATTTTTGTCCTTAGAAACATCGGGCTTTGCTGATGTGCGTCTTCTGCCTATTTTAGGATGAGGAGAGTGTTAGAGATCGATTCAAGGCGAGAACTCTTATTGGCTGGCTCCAGGACATTAAAGACAACTTCCAAGCAGAGAAGGTATCGAACAGACAATCTTCTTAATTTTATTTGTTTAATTCGTTTGATCCAAAGAGGAGACTTGTTATTATTGAGGCAGACTAACTTAGTATGGAGGTAGTCGTTTGAGTAATAAGCATTTCCTTTTTGTAAAAATATCACTACCACAAGGTATTAGAATGCAGGTATAAATAGTGGCTGAATATTTATTTATTTATTTCAAATGTCAGGCGTTTTGATAGTTATCATTAGCCATTTAGCTGACTTCAGGCTTCACAGAGAGGAGGAGGAACATCAAAGTGACAAAAAGTCGAGAGGGGGGACAGAATAATGATTCACAGATGTGACAGAGACAGACAAAAGAGCAAAGGTAAGATGAGTACTCCGAAATGGGCTGAATATGGCATACAGTGGGGGTAGTTTGAAGTGAGAAGTCAACTGACGTTTAATAGACTTTTTTGCCGTATGAGTATACGTTGCCCAGGGTGCACCACGTGGAGGTAAGTCTATCGCACACCCCGTGGCTGAATATTGTTATTGCGAAATGTCAAAATGGAGTAGCCAGTCCTGTGACTTGTTAATCTAACTTACGTCAAAGCGTGGAGTAAGTCTCAATATGCAGGTATTCGGTAGTGGTGTAAGATTTACTGAAATCTTAATTGCTGTAGGACAGGCCATGTATACGACTTTTTGAAGTTGCAAAAGGGAATTGAATGTTTCAGTAACGCAAGAATCCCCTCCACCTCCACCCCACCCCAATGTTAGAATTAAGCGTTAGTGGTTTTTTTCAGCTGATGCATTGTGTATATAAATGAACTCATTAAGCTGTTCTAAGCAGCTAATGCAATTATCCCAAACTGCTCTTGTGTATACATGGTTTGAGTCACTCGCATGCCTATGAGATTGGATTGTAATGCCTGTCTTATCTTCATAGCTATAGTAAAATTAGTTTCTTAAAGGCTGCGTTTTGGTATCGACATATTAATGTTTCTTTTCATTATACATTACGAAGCAAGGGAATCACGAGATCAGTGGTGTAAGGAATTTAAGCAGTGTCAGGAAGTTTTTATGGTATTTCCATGATCAGGGTCGTACTGCATCTGCACTCCGAGACCGTTAGATGGCCTGCATAATCGTTCTTTTCATTGGTATGCTGAGTTTTCTGGTGTCAACTTTTCAAATGAATTTTCAACCACCTTTCCACGTAGCCCCTTGTAGAAGATAGTAACTCTGGAAAAAATTCTGTCAATTTGCGGAACGGTTACGTTTCGGTGAGGATCAATTCACCAGTGTCTTCTCATTCCACAAGCATTCACATAGAGTCGATGGTGTCGAACCTCTAAGGGCATTTACTTCCTTTTTTCCCACGCCCTCTATGTTGTCGGTGTTTTACCATGCAATGGGCCTAACATCATCCGTTAATGCTGTGTTCTTAGCTGCCTTAAATTTGTTATAATCGACATTGCGTTGGGGATAATAGGAGACTAGCCGTTAAGGACGAGTTTGATGAATGCCTGAGCCATCACCTGCTGCCCTTTAACCTCCGTTGTAATAAAATTAAGGGTTTCAGCAACTAAGCAATTATTATTCACAGTAGCTTCAACAGGTATGAAGGAACTCACTTGATAAATCGCGTATTCATTGAACTGAAGATATGATTATTAGAGCTCCGAACCTGCATACATTCAGACAGTTTTATTATCATACATTATCTTTATTTCATTTTGCCTACTATTACTTTGTATCTACTTAGGCATTTTTCAGCATGTCCGTTCTAATTAGTAATGAGGCACGAATCGCGCCTCCCTTAGTGACCACTCGCATCCTGGAGAATTCAAGTCATGATTTCAGATCATTGTAGGTCACACAGCTTCTTCTAATATTATAGTATAGGAACTTCTTTGGATCCTTCTCTGTCCCTCTTCTCCATAAAAATACTTTACTTGAATCATCCACACCTATGGTCCATCGACGGTAAATCAAAGATCCTTCTTAAGACCAAAACGATAATTGCTGTTCCTGAATTGTTGCTCTTACATCGTTCCAGAGTCCAAGCTTTTGAATTTCGACGGGAGCACTTGAGCACATAGTTAATTTTTTGTTTGAGGTCCTGTGTCCATATGGTTTTGAGCTGACTTGCAGGAAAGTTGGTTTAATTGATCGGTCCCCCATCCCGTTCTAATTTTTAAAATATTTTTCTATTGGCTATAACGCACTTTAGTTTGGTTAAAATTACTTATTGCATTTGAATTTTAATGACTGGTTTTTAACTCAGTGAAGTTTATTTCAAATTTATCGTGTACTGTTTTTTTAATCTCATATATCTGCATTCTTTTTTCCTCCTCAGAAAAAGTTGCTTTGCCGACAACTACACGAAGCGGAATCCTTGATGATGGTGCAGAAATTAGATTGGGAGGTTAAACTAAAAGAGCTACATCTCTATGATTACCGAGCGAGCATTTTTGATCAGATATCGACACAACATGTGCCTCTTATTAGTGTTCCCAGTGACTTTCCATTATTTGTTCATGACCCGATTCAACGACCCTCTTGATCAGTTGGCCTGCCCCCCCCCCCCGACCCACTCCCGTCCTTCTTGTATCAACCCACCATTGCTGTATTCTAGGATTAAATCATGATATTTAATCGTATATATATATAATATAAATTACCTCATTCTTGTGAATCAGCATTACCTTACCCAACTGGTTGAAATACAAAATTTGATGGGCTTTAACTGCTGTAAGTTCATCAATGTTCACATGCTCTATCGTACGAAGCGCAATTGAACCTATTCTCGTTATTGCTACGTAGCTGTTTTGTTCTTTGTATAAAAAGACCACAGAACAGGTGCTCTCCCATAGCGTAATGAAAAGGTCGTAATTGGCCTGCAAATCTTTTCTTTCCTAATTACCCAGTTAACCTGTGCTATACCTTTGACTAGGTATTGTCTCATCATCATGCTTGCCACAGTGGCTGGGATTTGTTAGCCAGAAGTTATCACGATATGTCATGCGAATAGGTGTGCTCCAATTGACTTTTCTATGTTAGCTCCGTTTTAAATTATTGCGACTCCGCTACCGACCTACTCTAGCCATGTCTGGATGAAATACCAAAAAAATGGGAAGAAATAATACCACGAACGGTGAAGTTGTGCCTTATGGTAAGCTACTACCATTTAATACAACTCGGTTAGCGTAAGTTCTCAGGACTAGGTCACCATTCCGCTACACAACTACGCAAAGCTATTCACTTTCTACCGGATGTCTTGGTCACATGTTTCAGGATCAACACATATGCAATTACCAAATCCAAGGAACGGGGAGAACTAACGATAAGTAATATAGATTCATCTATATGAGAACTAAGAAATTTAACAAAATAGCACAAAAGTTTAGAAATCAAAATCAGCATCAATGTTTCCGAAATTCCAGTCCTCAGGAGCCAGATTCTGGAGGTTCAGTAGATCCACCTTGCCCGTCGAAGGTTTGGATTGTTTAAAAGGCGGGGGTTGTTCATCTTCAACAAAAGCGAACCGAGATAGCTTGCTTTTTACGCGAGAACCAAGCTTGCTCGAAGCTTGTGAAGCAGATTCAGAAGATGTACGCGGTTTCGCTAGCTCAGATTTTCGTACGTTACTTCCAGAAAGTGAATTTCCCTTCAAAATACTATTAAAGGAATAAGTTGACTCTTTTTCAATACTCCCCGAAGCATTTGAAATATTAGCGGAAGTCAACGACGGTTTAGCTGACTCTAATTTCTGAAGATTACCATTATCAGAAAGCAAATGAATCTTTGACGTGCTTCTAAATGAATAATCAGATTCCTTTTCATCGCAATCAGACTTCTTTGAGGAATGAGTTCCAGTATTGAATTCTTGAGTAGTCTTGGGCACTTTCTTAAATGAAAATGCTCTTGAAGATTCCGTTTCAGAGGAATTGGATTTTGGAACTTCAACTGCACCACTATCTTTCAACGTTTTCACCCATTTGACGGACTTTGAGAAACGAACGGGAACTGTGTGTGAAATATTGCTACACCCAGTTTCAGTCTTTTCTGAACTACGAATGGTAGAAATTAATTCAGTTTCTGCGACGGATTCCGGCAGTTCATCTGAATTAAAATCCTTTGAAGCTTTTATTGAACTGGAAAACAAAAACACATCCTCGACTGATTTATCTGCAGAGATAGTTGGTCCCGGTTTATCGGGAACTTTCTTCTGCTCCTTTTCGAATGAATCGAACCCACTTGGCATAAAACTATCAACGTCAAAATTAAATGCATTTTCCGGCAGTTTGGAATTGTCCTCTTCCACAAAACTCTGAACATTTGGAATAACTATAGTCTGTTGATCTCTAACTATTTGTGTCGATACACAAACGGGTTGGAAGTCTACCTCTTTCGTGTCTGATCCAAACCATTCCAACTCCAGTTCCTCAGGTCGAATGTTGAGTTGACCAAAAATGGCACCTAGAATATCGTCAAAGTCATTTTCGATTCCGTGTCTAGTGACAGTCTCCTCGGGGGTCACACAGTGCCCATCAACTTCCACAGCCGATGCACTACGTCCAAATGTCGATTGAATTGAACAGTCCATTAGCCAGATGGCCACTACTGCATCCTATGAAAGAAATAGAAAATACAAGATGACAAAAACTAGTAATGAGTTTGATCACACCAAACCCGAAGTGATGTAAATAAACAAGTAGTTAAAGTATCACGCACCTAAAACTATTTCAAAATTAAAAAATACGCAATGAAAAGAATCTTAGGACTGAGCAGGTAAAAAAAGTAGTTCTGCAGTGGATCCTATTAGGCTTTATGATTAGCAATTTAGTCTATAGACGTCTGAGTTATCACGAATAGAAGATCAACAGAGAGCAAAGGAAATCCATTATTTAAAAGCAATCTTGCTTTCAACATATAGTCAATCACAAACAAGCATATGCAAAATCCACTCAGTTTTTATATTATGAGAACCGATTTCTGGATACTCCAAAGTTGTGGCTAACACCTTCGTCAAATTAGGCTAGGCTTTGGACAAATATGGGTCAACACCTTTAGACTCACAGAACTTCACGGATATATGTTGGGACTCGGTTTCTGAAATCTTGGCCATTACTCAATATAAAAGTCATCCGGCCATCGAGGATTAGTTATAAGATGGATTTTCATTTAAAAATACTATATTTGAAAAATTAATTGGGTGACCTAAAGTGACTGCACTTCTATCTACGGTTTACCAATAGTAAGACTATTTCCATACTTCAACACTAAAGTTAGAACCCATACATTTACTAAATAAACTAACTCGTAAATAGAAGGACAGACAACAATGCAGCATACGTGGTATAGTAGCAAAGACATGCTTCTAAATGGGAAACAAGGCGGAATTACCTCAATAACAGTCTTATCTCGAGCCATAAGACGCGCATGAGCTTGAGTCAGCCGAACAAGACTTTCTAGCAAACGCAACGTGGTTCTTCCAGCCACAGCTTGTTCTTGCTCGGCCCCTTGAACTTTCTGAAGCGTCCGACGGCGCAACTCGTAGTATCTCTGCAATAGTAACGCCGCCCCTTTCGACAAACGAGGTTGGAATTCACCCCTCACCCAAGCAATGTAATTCCTCAAATCTTCTGCTGTCCATGTTATCCGACCCACCGATTTAAATAGATCTCCCTCCTCCGAGCCACCTCTTTCCACTGATCGGAATCCCAAAACATGATCAGCTACTGCTGAATCCCATGCCTCACAACCTACAGGATCAAACAGCCTCCAAACCAGATCAAATCGAGAAAGGAGAGGTGTTGGCAGAATATCTGAGGCATCGCTTGAGTCGTCAGAGGACAATGTAGAGGCGGCGATAACAGCACAACGACAATTTAGCCGAGCCACGAGACCAGCTTTGGCGATAGAAACCGTCTGTTGTTCCATTGCTTCATGCACAGCAGCACGATCAGCCCCTCGCAAGCTGGTGAATTCGTCAATAGCGCAGACACCACCATCAGCAAGGACCAGAGCACCAGCTTCCAGCGCCCATCCCGAGGAATCACGAACAGCAGCGGCTGTTAAACCAGCTGCTGTTGTGCCAGTGGCTGCAGTAAATATTGCTCGGCCGGCAAGGCGACAGGAAGTGCGAAGGAGAGCTGACTTGGCGGTACTTGGTTCACCGACTAAAAGAAGGTGGAGATTACCACGAACACGAAAGTCTTTCCTTTCGTCCTTTTCTTGATTAGTGTTCTCAATGAGAGTGCGCTCGATGTCTGAAATCGAATCAATAACAAAGAGGAATGATATGAAGAGTAGCCTAATTTTGGAGTTTTACTGATACATCAGCATTTAAGGTGGCAACTGAACAATGAAGAGAAAAGTGTAATCGAGCTAGCCATGCTAGTCTGCTGTAAATGCTAATTCCCTTTGAAATGTTATAAAATTTAGAGTTAATGGTTAATGAGTAAAACTAGAGTCGGAGATGACTAACGGAATAAGCAGCCAAAATATATAATATTTTCTACCTAAAAGATGTTACAAAACATAACCACCACTATCCAAGGATATCCAAATAATTAGGGAGAGAATGAACTTAAAATATATAACCGGAACACCAATCTTAAATGGACTAAAACTTTTGCCGATGTAGAAAGAGAAACATATTTACATTAAAGAAAATTGATAATCCAACAAACTTTAAGCTAAAATTTACCTGATTATCTGATTCCGTTTTCACAATTCTCAACCCTCTGCGAATTAAAATTAGTAACATAGTAAAAAATATCCTTTTATGGGAAAAATTGAGATTTGAGATGAATCCGAGGTCACTCACCATGTTTTTCGGAGCAAGGTGGAGCCCCAACAAGAACAAGAACCAGAGACAGCTTTACAAAATATAGTCCATAAACATCTGGACAAATATTTCGGACAATTTCATCCCGAAGTCGCAATGCTAGTTTAAAGTCCCCGCTAATTGTGGCTTGTTTCCAATAATTCTTGAAACGCTTGCCCAACTCATGGGCAAAATTATCGCTACCAAGTTCTCCCTTAAATCGCATCTCAGAAAGATTTTCAATTGAATTAGCTCGAAATACTGTTTCGATTTCACAAGGTGCACCAACTCTTGGAGTGCGCCATCGGTGAGTGAGAATTCCGTTCAGAATGATATCATCCCCTGGGCGAACGGAGTCGACTAGGTCTGCATCAAGGCAGCAAGTCATGGATTTGGGCATACTCCCAACAGCTAAACAACTGAGTCTTTCGTTGACTCGAATCTCTTGAAAGCAATGAAGAAAATTGGAGTTATCTTCCGAAACCACGTTAAATGATGTTGAAGGACATCTTTCGATAATGTTTGTGCAGCGTCGCGGTTGAGAGATTGAGTAATATTGACTGAAATCTGCCTCTACTGTGATACCATGACCACATTTTGTGCAAATGAAAGATCTTTCCAACTGCACCACCTGAATAGTTCCAACACGTGTAACTGTGCACTGAAGAGCAAAGAATCTTCCAACGTAGTCTGACTGAGGAATGGTTGAACGGAAAACTTCAGAAATCGGAGGTAAGGAAATAATGCGCACTAAACATCGAATGGGCCTTTGAACAGTTTTAGAAAGATCCAATACGATGTTGGTTAAAGTTTTGTTAAATATCGAAAGGGTATCAAGGGGAGAAGATAACAAATGTTGAGAAAGAATGCTGTTAAATTCGCATAAACTGGAGAAATTGACAAATAATGGGAAAACATTACTCTCACTGCCTGTCTCCTTTGACCCAAGTTGATTCTTTATGATTTCAATATACTCTTTCTTAACAAATTCGGAAAATAGAGAGGAAATATGGACTTTGGATGAATCCTGTAATTTCTTCATTCTACAAAAAATAAACACAAAGATAACCATTAATGGCAAAAATATGTAAATTATTTGCGATTAATAAAAGTATTCATTCCAAAGCAGTAAAGGTAACAAATAACAGACCCACTATGAAGTAACCCATCTAAATTGGTTCCTTTCCAACTACCAACCAGTCTTAGAAATCGTAAAACAAAAGCAAGTACACAATTTTGAAATCTTACATTAATTTTATTTGTTAACTCAGGTCAACCATCAACCATATTATAAAGCTCGCTTTGTTTAGCATAACTAGATCTCATAAATGCAAATATCATGGGATTGTGATTTATTTTTGTTCATTCTATGGCAAAACTATTTCGAATGTTGTCATGATGTAATATTTTTTGCCTCAAAGCAAGAGACACTCCACTTATTTTTCATTTATTTAAAAGACAATTTTCATTAATGATTTATTATATATGATATTAAGCTTCGTAACAAAAAATCACTGTTAAAGACACCAAATTCGAAATCTTTGGTGAAATAAATATAGTTAGCGAATTCGCAAAACTGTTTAAAGTTTATTCAGAAAATATAGAATTCACTTTATATCGGAACGGAACAGGAAATTTCTTTTCTATATATGACTTCCCCTTTGATACGGAATAGAAATTAATTAATCGCAAGAATTATTTTTGTTCCGATTTTAAAGGTAATCATGCTTAAAACTGGAGTAGAAATATATATAAATAACGGTATGTTGATACAAATATAACACTTTTAAGTTTTCATGTATAACCTGGTAAGATTGAAGAGGTGTGCATCAAATTACTCTATAATACTAAACATCTTGAAATATGCTAAAATAACTAATCTTATCCCGAAACAGAATATTGGGATTGGAAAATATACATTGCACGTATTTATAATTGAACTGGAAATGGTAGTATTTGCTGGGAATGGAGATTGAGAAGTGTGAACAGATATTAAATACAATTTAAAGGACACAGTTATGTGTTATTCAATCAGGGAGGCTGAGCCGAGCAATATGGTATGTTAAAATTTAATAACTACATTCTGTTTGCGTAGACGCTCTAATATAAATATAAACTGCCTTAAAGGTAAAGTTGTTAGCATTTCCGATTACTATGCAGGAGGTTGTCTTTTAATGCATTGAGTTGGATATTATCAAAGTTTAAGTTGTTTGAAAAATTATGCATGGTTACAAAGAAACTATCTCAACTTAATTCTAAAAATATTTATTATCCATATTGGCACGTTGTATATGAATTTCCATTTCCATATTGAAATTTACCCTATGTCCACAGCAGATGTCATTTGGCTACTTATATTACGCTTTCAGTTCAAGTTATGCAAAACGAAATTTCTCTTTTTTTAAAAGCGTGTTTGGACTTAGAAAAATAATTAATAAAAGTAAATACATTGCGATTGTTTAAGCGAAATTTTTGAATCTGATTTTATAATAGGCCAGGTCATTGCGAAGAAAATTACACAAGGAAAAACATCCCGGACTTCATTAAAGAAAAATATTATTGAAAGTACCCTTACAGTTAGTATTTTTACAAATTAGGTAGTAGTAATATTCTGAAATAAATATCACAAATAACTAATAGATTTTGAGTGTTATAATTGAGAATAAATTAATATTGTTCATTTTTCTCATAGTTAGACTCTCTTTAACCAAGGGAAATGTCATAAAATGAATAATAATTTTATTTTACTATGCCTCATGATTCTACCAAAATTAGATTTATTGTATTAATACGTCATTTCCAGATTGTTTTTGGGCATGCTCAATTACTTTTGAACAAATGAGACACTCAGCACGTGACATTCACAAATCTTTAAAACAAAACAATTTTAAAAATCAATGCCCCTAAGAGTATTATATTAAAGACTACATAAAGTTACTTTCAAAAGTAGGAAAATTTCCCTCGGAGCAACCGCATTTGGGCTTTCTTGTTATGAGAATAGTTATATTGTTGCAACTCTATAATTTAGAAGGAAGCTTCATATTTTCTCAGATGCTACAGTAATGCTGTTAAGAATAAAAATAAACACAAAGTTTAATAAAAGAAATAATGGTATCATTTGACCTAAATTATTGCCGAATAAAGCTTCACTTGGTTTGTTATTCAAATGGCACATTCAAATTTAAAAAACTTAAACAATTTTCTTTAATTTTCTAACTAATCTTTATGACACCAGAGGTTAGTACTTTAGCCCTCTCACCATTGGCTAACTTAAATTTCGTTCAAAATTATTGGTGCCTGAAAACAAATCGGAGCTGTGTACACTAAGCTCATAGTCTTTGTTTGGGCAATATAAACAATTCATTTGACAACTATTTGGTTGTTTCACAAAAAAACTTTAATTAATTAGCTTTATGTTGTATTAAAAATATTTTTGTACAAGAGAAAAGAAACCTAGTAATCTGAGGTATGATTGTAATCTATTCGCTTTAAAATAATTGTAAATGAATATTGAAATATTTGAGACATAGACCAGCTTCGACCTCAAATCACGGACGTAGTTGCTTTGCATGCCAGTCGGTCAATAAATTGAGACAGGACATCAAAATATAGGAAAATATTTTAAATGAGAAAGCCAATGAATGCTTTTTTACGCCCTCATATAAAAATAAAATTTAAGGCTCTATTCAAAAGATTAAACTTAATAATCACTGTTATCTATACGGAAGTCTGTGAAGTAAGCAATGCTACCAAGACTAACCAAAGGGTTCTCAGAGTAAAACAATTCGAAAGTCCCAACGTGCGACGGATCGAGTACCCAGCATCTGCGGGCTTGCGCTCACAGGTCTCCCAATTATAGGACTCTACTGGAGGTTTGACGCACTTGCCTGCAGCTAGGAAACTGATAATAGGATTACTGAAATTTAACCAATGGGTTATTTGTGCAGAACCAACTAACAACTATTCAACAATAACAACCAGGTTTCCCTTCCATAACGGATACCTGCCAAATTCCCTCTAATCTGCTTTCCGCATGTATGAAACAATTATAAGCAGCGACGCTTTCAACACAAGTCATTGATATATATATATATATATATATATAAGCAATAACTCCTGACGTGAAATAGTAACTTGAGGATTCTCAAAATGAATCTAACCCAAGAGTGTAAGAATAACCACATTACATGCACTAAATGAAAATAAAATTTTATTCAGTTTTCATCTTCGGAATCTTTGGTGTGCATTCGTGTGGCCGTGTATTCTCCTTCCTGTGATTGTGAACGCAATCTTCTAAATTCAGCTCGGGCCTAAAAGAAAGTAAAATGATTATTGCTTTTTTCTTTAAAGAATTTTCATGTGATTACATCAAAATACAATATTTGTTATTATTTAACAACTCATTTTTTATTATCATTTTTCTCAATAACTGTAATGGACTCAAATTATGAACTTGTTTGATATATTTCCCGTGTTTCGCATATTGGGAACCAAATTCTAAATTTGCAATTAAATACGAGGCAATTAGCCCAACTCAATTTCTTGCTAATAGGGCAATTCTTTAGAAATCCTCTGACAACTTGTAGAAAGCGGCCATTCGTAATTAATTCAATTATATATATATATATATATATACGGGGTGTGCGATAGACTTACCTCCATGTGGTGCACCCTGGGCAACGTATATTCATACGGCAAAAAAGTCTATTGACTGGCAGTTGACTTCTCACTTTAAACTACCATCACCTCACTCTATGCCATATTCGACTATTTCCACAGTACTCACCTCACCTTTGTTCTACCTTTGTGTTTGTCTCTTACATCTTTGAAACACTCTCCTGTTCCCCCTCCCCTATCGACTTTTTCAATTTGATGTTTCTTCCCCTCTGTGAAGCCTGAAGTCAACTAAAGGGCTAATGATAACCATCAAGACGCCTGCCATTTGGTAAATATATGTATATATATATAGTGACTCAATAGCTGGCAATTAGTATTCTAGATCTCGTAAATGAGAAATTGAACCTTATAAAATACAAATTAAGCAAGTAAGGCTAGATGAATCGGCGAATGTTAAAACTTAGCAGACTCGAATATATCGCCAACACTCCATAAATAAGCACTTGAATCATCGTAATAATCACATGAGGCATCTAACATTTTGCCTCATGAAGAATCC